GGTGCGAGGTGATAGGTGACAGGTGCGAGGTGACAGGTGACAGGTGTGAGGTGATAGGTGCAGGTGACAGATGCGAGGTGATATGTGATAGTCGACAGGTGACAGGTTATAGGTGACAGGTGATAGGTGACAGTCGACAGGCGACAGGTGACAGGTTATAGGTGACAGGTGACAGGCAACATGTGCGAGGTGACAGGTGCAAAGTGACTGGTGACTGGTGACAGGTGCGAGGTGACAGGTGACAGGCGTCAGGCAACAGATGACGGGTGACATGTGACAGGCGACAGGTGACTGGCAACAGACGACAGGTGCGAGTTGACAGGTGACAGGTGCGAGGTGACAGGTGACAGTCGACAGGTGACAGGCCAGACAAAGAGCGATTCAGAAGATTTTTATGGACATGACACAGCAAGGAACTCGGTGTCCCTTGCCCGGACATGGGTTACCGGGGCCCCACCCTGGAGCCATTCCTGTGGGAGGGGCTTGCTTTTGAGCGCCTGGTGACTGGGTCTCTACCCATGGGGCCCGGTTGTGCTCTGCCCGAAGGAGCAGCATGGGTTTGCCTTCCTGTGGACCCACCATCTGCAGGAAGGGCCATAAAGGTCGGGTGTGTGATGCCATGGGCAGTGGCTGAAGGCGGGGACCTTGACGCTCTGACCCTGGTAAGCATCTGCTAAGGATGCTCCCTGGACACCTCCCTAGAGAGGTGCTTCAGGCATGTCCGATTGGGAGGAGACCCAGGGGAAGACCCAGGACACGCTGGAGAGATATGTCTCTCGGTTGGTCTGGGAACACCTTGGAGTCCTCCCAGAAGAATTGGGAGTGGAGAGAGATGTCTGGACCTCCCTGCTCAAGATGCTGCCCCTGTGACCTGACGTAGGAACAAGTGGAAGATAATGGATGGATGGATGGATGTATTTAAATAAATTAAATAAATCACTGTCAGATCTTCAAAATAACTATATAATAATAATAAAGAATGTAATTGGACAGTAGTTGTGGAAGATTTATACAATAATTTGACCAATTACGTTAAATCCAATATTTTCTTTTTACACAAGAAAGAAATGTCCTTTTATTGAATTCTTCTCAATTGTTTACATTTTTCTGTTGAACCTAATTTTTTCATCCTTAGTTATCTATGATGACAAAGAGGTCTGAGATGACGAAGATGGACAGGCTTGTTGTAAAAGAGGAGCGAAAGCTGATACAACTTGAAAATACCATTGTGAGAGACAAGCAGAGGTTTGAAGAGTTTCTCAAAGAAAATGAGAGGAAGTGTGTGGAAGGCAGAACTCTGTAAGTAGAACCTGGATTGACAGTAAAACAGTTTCAGCCTTGTCCTCAGGGCTGTGCTCTAAGACCAGTTTAACATGGACTTTCTTTACAACTACAACTCTAGTTCTGACATTAAATGATCCGTTTCACACAGAATTGTACACACTTACTGATAAAACCACATGTTTGCATACACTGTACAAAAAGACAAAAACATTTTGTCACAAATATATTTTTATCATTTAAACGTATTGTAAGTCCTGGGGGACGTGTGTCCTCCTAACTAAAACTCTGACTTTCAGTCATAGCTGAGTAAGATGGAAATTTCACTTCCTAGTACAACTCAATTGTCACAATGAATTAAATTAATGTTTTTAATTAAAATGTTTCCTTTTGAATGACTCCCGGACGTGTTCTGCTCTAACTTGAGAACATTTGTATGTTGTCAGTTTCAAACGAGAAGAAAAGTTAAAGCAGGAGAAGAATATAGAGATTAAGAAGCTAGCTGCTGAAATAGGGACAGTAAAAAGGTAGGCTTCGGATCATTTTGTGTAATGATCAACCTAACTCCTAGTTCAGTGCATTAAAGTGTTTTATGTAGAAATGCACTTGACAAGCATGTCATTCCTTCTGGAAGTGAAATTTCCAAGTTTGAAGACTCCCTGATTGACTACAAGGTATACAAGGAGTTCCTGTTTAAGATTTCTCCTCCAGAGTGGCAGCACAATGACAAGAACAAGACCACGAAGACTAAAGTCTTGTCTGAGGAAGACGGACAGGAAGACCAGAACAACGAAGCTCAGAAGATGGCTACTAAAAATAGCAAGTACTCTTTTCCAAACTAAAAGTTCTCATCCTTCAAACAGATCATCAGAACCAGAATGGTTCTGCTCTTTTCATAGTCTTGAATCTAAGCTCTGCTGTTTTTCTGTCTTGTGATTCAAAATGAAACATTTTGAAGGTAGAAGCTGTTTTAACTGTTCTTTACTTGCATGTGCACAGGTTTGGACAACAAGCTGTCCAGTTCAGAAAGAGAACAGTCCTCTGTGAGAGAGAGCAGGTCGTGTTCAGCTCAGAGTGACACGCTGTAAGGAAACATCAGCACAGGCATTAATTATGTTTCCACAGTTTGGAGTTGTGATGCACGTCCTCTCGTTAAGCTGGACATCACATCACTGTGATGTTCTGAAACAGATCACTTCTAATGTTAGTCTGTGGAAAGCAATGCTTGGCATGTGAATATATTTTACATTAACTCTGAACGTTCATTTGCCTGTAAAAAAATCAAAAAACTTTTTGATTGGAGTATTTTTTTAATTTAAACATTAAATTCCAAACAACAAGGTTATAGATAGAAACAAGATGAACAATATTTTCAGTAGGAGGACTTGTATCTGAGCCAACAGCCACCACAAAAATAGTCTGCGACAACAAAACAAATGTCTGCAGAAATAAAGTTTATTTAAAGTGTTTTTTAATGACAGGAAACTACTTCTAATAACCAACAATGCTTTTAAGATTCAACATAGGTACAACACAAAGTTGTCACTAAAAACTCAGTTTCATATTAAATTAATAATAAAGTAAATAAGCAGCCAAAGGGGCAGCACGGTGGCACAACTGGTAGAGCTGCTGCCTCTCAGTGAGCAGGTCCCTGGTTCAAACCCCGGTCCAGGGACCTTTCTGGGCCTTTCTGGGTGGAGTTTGCATGTTCTCTCCGTGCATGCGTGGGTTTTCTCCGGGTGCTCAAGTTTCTTCCCACAGACCAAGAACATGCATGTTAGACTGATTGGTAACTCTAAATTGTCTCTAGGTGAGAGAGAGTGAATGATTGTTTGTCTTTATGTGTCTCTGTGATGGACTGGAGACCTGTCCAGGGTGTCCCCCGCCCCTCACAGTGATTGCTGGACATGGGCACCGGCGACCCCCGTGACCCAAAATGGAAGAAGCGGGTAAAACATGATGGATGAATGGATGAAACCAGAGAACCACTCAGCGCGATAAAGGACTCAGTCAACACAAAGTGTTGTGAAGCAGCCGCCCTCCGACCAGTGACAGAGCTGCTGCTTCAGGCTGCTAATGGTTTTGTCCCCAGTTGATGGCGCACTAGTACCAAACATTGTGAGAAAATGAGCAATGTAACAGTGCAATAATAAGTTCCACAAAAAGTGCAACTTCTGGTGTTTCAGTCACAGTTTTGTTTCAGTGCAGTCGATCTAAAACACCTGGTACTGCTCGAGACATCACAAATGTTAAACTATACTTTCTGGCTCCAAACTATTCACTGGGATTTTGCCAGACTCCATGAATTTATTCACAATATTTTGCTGTGTAAATGTTCAGCTTCCCTCATAACGTTGGTTATGTACTGTAACCCCAGATTCTATGAGTGTAGGCGTAGCCCTTTAAGGCTGTCGCTGATGGGTTTATCCCAATATGCGAAGCATTGCACTGAAAAATTTAGTCCACGCCCAACTGCTGTATGGGCCCCACCCGGTCCGTATAAATTACGTTTAGAGCGGGTAATCAACTCCCAAATAGCTTTTTCTTCAGCCATTTAGGAGCCAGTGAGGCCCGACGCTTAAAGGGCTACGCCTATACTCATAGAATCTGGGGTTACAGTACGTAACCAACGTTCTATGTCGTATAAGCTTCGCCCTTTAAGGCTGTCGCTTAGTGGGTTAAGGGCGAAGCGGATGTGGTCCTCGCCTCACTGGGTCCATTTGAACACCGTATGAAGCAGAAGCTTGCCCAAAAAACGTCTTGTCACTCAGCTCCCCATGTGCGTAATTACGCATTGCTTAATTATGTGTGCCATGTACAGAAGCATGTTGTGTAACTATGCGTTCTGAATGCATGAACGCCCCGGAAAAAATTTCAACGGGGAGGGAAAAAAGCTGAAAAGAGCCACGAACCAACCGGTTTATGGCTGAACAGTATGAACAGATTAATAATAACAGGAGAGCTATTATTAATCAAATGAACTGATTGGTAACAATAGTCATGAACTGATTAGTAACAATAGAACCAAAATAACAACCACAACTTGTGACTGATAACATCTCACACTGTAATGCATGCAGACAGATGTGAGTAAAACGGAGTTCCATGAAACAACAATATTCATTCTGTAAACACTAAGGACAGAATGTGTCATGGAACGGGCCGTCACATCACGTAGATAAAAGCGAATGAATGAGCAGGGTGTTGACCACGTGGCCGCAGTGCAAATGTCCTGCATTGTCATACCATTATGCAAAGCAGTCGAAGATGCGATACCCCTGGTCAAGTGTGCCCTAAGGTTGACAGGAGGCTCTAAATCTGATGCTCTGTAGGCTTCAGAAATGGCCTCACACAGCCAGTGTGATAGGCGCTGGGTGGATAACGGGCGACCCGCAGGTGCATCTCTATAATGCACCAACAAATGTTGAGTTTGACGCATTGCAGCTGTGCGCGCTATGTAACACGTCAACACCCACACCGGACAGAGAAGATAGAAAACACTACTTCTTCTGATCTGTGGGGGGGGGGGAGAAAAACCCTTCCAACGATATCGCTCTTGATTTAAAAGAGCCTGTGATGTTTTTAGGCATAAAAGCTGGGTTTGGTCTTAGATCAGCTGAGCTGCCATCAGCCTGAATTCTGAGACATGACAGCGCGACAGAGAGGGCAGATAAATCACTCACCCTCTTAGCGGATGTAAAAGCCAGCAGCAGGGCTGTTTAAAGAGACAAGAATTTAAGTGGAACCTGATCCAGAGGCTCAAATGGAGCTTTGATCAGGGCTCGCAGGACCAGCGTTAAATCCCACTGTGGAACAAGTGGGCGTGAAACAGGCCTGCGTCTCTGTACACCTTTAAGAAAACGCTTCATCAGCGGATGATTAAAGGCTGTTCTGTCTCCGAACCCTTCGTGGCAGGAAGAGATGGCTGCAGCGTATGTTTTAATCGTGCTGAACGCCAAGCTCCTGTCCATCAGCTGCTGTAGAAAGGACAGCATGCCACCTAGTGGACATGAAGGTGGCCTCTACACCCTTCTCTGTACACCAGCGCTGAAAAGCTGTCCGCTTTGATGTGTACAGCGCTGTGGTAGATGCAGCACGTGAAACCTGAATTGTGCGCACAACATCCTGTGGGAGACCCATCCTCTCTAAGCAGATCCGCTCAACGGCCAGACCCACAGGTGCTGGCCTATTTCTGGGTAACTCCTGATCGCTCCTCCTGCTTGGAGGAGAGCGACCTCCCTCCACGGCAGTTTCCACGGGCGCCCCGACAGCAGGCGTTGCAGGACTGGGAACCATGGTGCGTTCACGCGTTCAGGGGCCACCAGGACAGCTGTCAATCCCTCCTCCTGAACTCGGTTCAGGAACCGTAAAATCAGAGGAGGTGGAGAAAATGCATACAGAAGTGTTTTGGGCCATGGGCTGTGGGCAAACGCATCCACCCCCAGCGGTGATTCGTCTCGAGGGCTCAGAAAAAACCATAATTGACACTGAGCGTTTTCTCATGTCGCAAATAGGTCCACAGCTGCTTAGCCAAATTTCTGCCACGTCTGAGCCATCAGATATGGATGGAGAGTCCAGTCCCCATGACGTGGACCGCCCCTGGACATCACATCTGCCCCTTAGTTCAGAACACCGGGTATGATGGAGAGCAGATTTTGGTGTGCCCAACACAGTAGTTTCACGCAATGTGTAACATCTGGGCTGGGCACACACCCCCTTGCTGGTTTATGTACGCAGCAGTCACCTTGTTGTCTGTGTGAATCAAAACGTGTTGATTCTCCAGCACAGGCGCAAAATGTTGAATCACGTTCAGCACCGTGTGACACTCCGAAACATTTATAATAATAATAATGTCATCACAATGTCAGCACTGTATGTTTCCATACAAAGGCGAAATTAGTCTCTGCATTTAACCCATCCACCACCAGGTGGTGCAGTGGGCAGCTATTGAAAGCGCCTGGGGGGCATTTTGGAGATGAGGCGTGCTGCCCAGAGACGCCACGTGATGTGCAGTGACTGGGGATCGAACCTGGGACTCTCGGGTCCCAAGCCAGCTGCCCTGCCTCTACACCATCTCAGCACCCATTTATGTGGGCTGATGTGTGATGGGGCCACAGCGCCCCTACTGCTTGAGATAGGCATGTCCCCCCCCAACCTGACAGTGCCACGTCTATGAAGACTGACATGTGTGACGTGGGTCTGCTGACAGGGACTCCCTCCGACAGAACCAGGGTGTTTCCCCAGTGTCGGAGGTCTGCCCTCACGGAGGGAGGAACAGTGATCATCCGTCTCTTTTGTTTTACTGGATCCACACACAGACGTGCAAACCACCTCTGGAGGCATCTCATGTGGAGTAAACCCAGCGGGACCACTGTGTGAGCTGACGACATCATCCCTAACAGCTTCATGACAGAAACAGCTGTTACCACTCTGCCAGGTCTTACGTGGCGGAGCTGGTCTTCCAGAGTGTCGATTCTCGTTTGTGATAAACAAGCCCTCATGGTGGTTGAGTTTAGCTCCACTCCCAGATAAACAATTGTCTGGGCCGGGAAAATCAAACTTTTCTTCCAATTTATGGTGAAGCCCAGATTTAACAGGTGTGATGTCAGCGCCTGGACCTGTCCCGCTGCTTCCTGTCTGGAGCGTGACAGCAGCAGCAGGTCATCCAGGTAAAACAAAACTCTCATCCCTGCTCTGTGTAACGGTTGCAGGGCCGTCTCCACACACTTTGAGAACGTACGAGGCGCGAGAGAATAACCAAACGGCAGCCTGTTGTACTGATACTTCACCCCTTGAAAGGAGAAACACAGGAATTTCCTGTGTTTTGGGATGATCGGTATGTGAAAATAAGCATTTTTCAGGTCGACGGAAAACAAACCAATTGTTTCTCTGGATGTTGTCCAACAGCTGTCTGGTTGTCAACATGTGAAACAGTCTGTCCATGATCGCCTTGATGAAAACTGACAGATCCAAAATGGGTCTCAACCCTCCGGTCCGTTTGGGAAACAGGAAGCAACGTGAGTAAAATTCTGTGTTTTCCTCTCAGTTGGGAACTCTGGAGATTACTTCTTTTACCAGAAGTTCTTGGACTTCTGCATTTAGGGATGAGACCTGGTGATGACAGGACTGTCTCTAAAATTCCTCCGAACGGAGGGGGTCGGGTTGCAAATTGCAACGTGTAACCCTAGCTTAACAACCTGGCCATCCATCTGTCTGGCGAGCATGTTTTTAGCCACTCCGCGTAACGTTCGTGGAGTGGACGTGCGTTTAAGTGATGCGTCATGTTTTGTATGGATGTCATCCAGTCCACCGCCTCGACCGTCGTCATGTGTCGCGGGAATGTGTTCCGTGAGACCCAAGGCGAGGCTTCTCGAAAAGGCTCTGAACGCGCCTGTGTGCTGCGTTCGGACCGCGGGTCCACCTTGCGTTGAGGAGGAGTGTTTGACAGCTGATGACGCTGCTGGCCCCCTGCATTTGACGCCACTGCGGTGAAAAAACGCGTGTCGCTCCTGCCGCAAGCGGTGTCTTGCGCTGGGCTTGCTTTGCAGTCCCGCATTTAAGCTGACAGGCGCTGAGAAACGGTGAACGCGACTTCGTCTATGCCGTGCTGTTTGAGTGAAAGCTGCGAGCCCCGCCGGAGCTCGCGTCTCCTTTGGTGGGACGTGCGCCGCTCTCGCTGGGGCGAGATTGGTCACTGGGTTCACTCAGCTGTCTCACGTTAATGCTGACGTGAGCGGACGAGTGCTGAGGAGTGATGAGTGAAGACTGCCCCCGCCGCGGCGGCACGCATTTGCTTCGGTGCGGCGCGTGTTGCTCTCGCTGAGAGCAAGGTCCTCCACCGACCCGACCTGTGGTCCCACATTTATCCCGCTGTGAGCCAGTGAGCGCCGGGGAGCTGTGTGTGTACCATCATCAATGCAACGCCGTTTGGGTGAAGGCTGTTTGCGTCACGCGAGTGCGCGTTTGACACCGCTTGGGTGAAGATCGTGCAGCTCGGGTTGACTACGAGTTGTTTCGCTTACCACTGTTGTGTTCTGTGAGCGTCTCGTCATGTCTGGAGTAGCGGTGAGTTTGAAAACCCTTTATTTAAGGACACCGGCTCGTTTTTGTGGAGGATGTGTGCGCAGCCGCTGTGAGTTCATACAAGCTTACAGACTGGCTAAACACAGACACTTGATCATTGAATGAAGTTTTATTCAACAATGTGTCATCTTTACACACACCCTCCGCAGACCGTCATTTTGAATCTTTTCCCCCATGAGCTCTGGGATTTGTTGGCCCAAGGCGCCGTCTGCTGGGGATCTCTGGGAAAACATTGGACACTCTGTTGCCGGGATGAAAAGGGCCAGTCTCTGACGGGCGGGGCTGCGGTGAAGCTCAGCGAGACGGCCGTGGAACGTCTTGCCACTGGCTCATTTCGTGTGGAGGATGTGAGAGGGAGCCACTGTCAGGTCATCCGAGCTGACAGACTGGCTAAAAATAGACACTTTCATCATTAAATGATGTTTACTCCAAACTCGTGTCACCTCCACACACATCCTCTGCCAAAATCGTCATTTGCTCTGCCATTTGTTGTCCTAGAGTGCCATCTGTTGGCGGTCTTAGGGAAACGCTGAAAACTCTGTCCTCCGGCTGCGATGCAGGCCGGCAGATAGCAAAGAGGCGCACCGGTTGAGGATGACGTCAGCTGCTCTGCAGAGGGAGCGTACGTCTCTTCCTGCCTCTGAACGTGTACGCCAGCAGTGTAACGTGTTGTTTGCTGCGGCCATCTGGAACGCATGCTGGTGAGCTCAGTTGGAGAGCAGTGTCACCGTCTGGGTTACGCTAACCGGAGGCGCGGAACGCTGGTCCACCTGGACATCTTGCTCCGATGAATCCTCCGTCAGGCTTGGCTCCGGGGGGCACTGAGGGAATTTCCGCTCGGTGAAGCCCCTGCTCTGGAGATGGGCGTGGACTGTGGAGACCGGCCCCCCAATCTACCAGGAAAGCCGGCTGTGGCCTCGTCCCCGTAGGACGTCCTGTTGGGAAACTGAGGCCAGATGGGATCAGGACGGCGAGCCGGAATGGAGCCTAGAAAAAAAAAAACCTTCCCGCCGGATCATCCGAACTGGTGGGAAAGGCACGGGATGTAAAAAAGGGTCCCATAATGTCAGCAGCCTCCTGGATTACGCCGGTCAACCCCAGAGGGCACTGTCGGCTGGGAGCGGTGTGATCGCCGATGCGAAACGAGGTGGGATGAGGTGAGCATTCGCTCAGCCCCCCTCCACTGACACTACGCTCTCCAGGAGGGAATGAGCAGCGGAGCTGCAGCTGAACGCCGCCTGTCCCGGAGGAACCATCCGATTCGCTCCGAGGGTCGGCGATAAGAGGAAAATTACAAGATGGCGTTGTCCAGCGTGTAGTGACCTGTCACTGAGAAATACTCCTCGGCGCTTACCTTGAAACAAGACTGCTTGTCAGCTTCTCCTCGGGGAGGAGAGCTCACCGGGACGACCGGAGGTCAACGTGACGGGCCAAGCATTCTTAACAAAGGTTGGTCAGCTAGACAACTTTCCTTCTTGTTCTTCTGACAGTGCTATTAGCTTGCTGAAGAAAAATGGGAGCCGATTACCTGCTCTTAACGTAATTTATATGGACCGGGTGGGGCCCACACAGCAGGTGGGCGTGGACTAAATTTTTTAGTGCAATGTTTCACATATCGGGATAAACCCATCAGCGACAGCCTCAAAGGGCGAAGCCTATACGAAATAGAACAATATGTTTTTGAAGTGATCAGTAATCCAACAGCTTTTACAGAGTGGTGTGTGGTGTGACCATCCTTGTTCCAACAAATGATTCTTCTTTTACACCAAAGTCTGACCCCTCATCGGCTGATTCTTCAACAGTATTCTTACATGCTTCTTCTACAATATTTTCTTTCATTATCTACCTCGCTTACTTTATGTTTTAAACAAACTGATTTTTATATTTAAATGGTGACCAAAAACTTGGATGTATTTTATTGGCCGATCAGAATCAGGATTTAAGACCATTTCATTTTCTACCTTGATTCTTTTTCAGAGGCACTAAAAAAGATGAACACATCACAAAGTGCCTGTAGCATGTATTTAATATTTGTATGATGATTTTAACAGACATGGGTTGTAATTTAAATACATTAACTAGCATTACATTGTTCCCCTTTGTTAAAACTCTCAAACTCTGTTTTATGGTCATGTATAGGGGTGTACCGTTACACCCACGTGTACCGTTACACCCTTAGTCATATATGTTCAGGAATATTTTCTGGTTTTCAGAAGTTTAAGATTTTTTTTCTCTTTTTCAGAGAGAAAAACTCCCAAGTAGATGTTGACAGCTCTGAGGTCAGTTGAACTAAACTTCCTCATCCCGAGGTTTTGTTTGCAGAGCTCACAGTGGGGTGTCTCACCATCCAACTGTCTCACCTCTTTGTAGGATGAAGCAGAGCTTTACTTTACTGATCCCCAGCAGCTTTTGGATCTGATGACGGAGCTAACAGAACAGAACCTGTCTCTGATTCAGAATGCTGCAAGAGTGGAAGAAGTGCTGGAAAAGCTCCGACAGTTCATGGACACAACCAGGAGGGAGATGTAAGCTCTCTGTACCTTTAAACAAACAAACAAACACTTTAATAATCTGATTTTGTTTTTCAATTAAACTCCTACCTTCGTCTTCATCACATCATGAAAACACTGACTGCTATCGTAAGTGAAGAAGAAGAAGAGCAGATTGCTGTGCCTATAAAAGAGATGAAGCAAAGAATGGACAGGGAGGAGGAGAGAGGTGCAGAGCTCCAACAGATGCTTCAACGCCATGTCTCACTAAACATAAAAGATCAAGTAAGAAACTAAAATAAACTGATTTGGAGCACATTTTACTCACTAATAATAATAATAATAATAATAAAATAATAATAATCTAAACTTTATTGTCATTCAACATTTTACAGTGCACCATGCAAAACTGAACAAGATTTACTTTCATTTCACTCACATTTCATGTTACATTGAAATAGGTGGGCTCCTTATGAACTCCTCAACCTTAATTATTTCAGTTTGGATTTCATTTCTAATATGTACTTCTTATTGTGATTTTCTACTCTATTGATTATAATTTTGTAAAGTGTCATTGGCGTATTATTATTATCAACCATCAGTATTAGCGCCTATCTTAGATTTTTGAGAAATTATAAACTGTTAGAAAATAAATTGAAACTTGTTGAGTCTATTTAAAAGATTTGTGAAGCATGGTGGGGGCAGGGCAGCGTGGTGTCACAGCTGGTAGAGCTGCCACGTCCCAGCAAGCAAGTCACCGGTTCAAATCCCGGCTGGGAGCCTTTCTGGGTGGAGTTTGCATGTTCTCTCCGTGCTGTGTGGGTTTTCTCCGGGTACTCTGGTTTTCTCCCACAGACCAAAAACATGCATGTTAGGCTGACTGGTAACTCTAAATTGTCCCTAGGTGAGAGAGAGTGAATGGTTGTCTCGTTTGTCTCTATGTGTCCCTGCGATGGACTGGACACCTGTCCAGGGTGTCCCTCACCTCTCACACAATGATGCCTGGACATGGGCACAGTGACACATGCAACCCAAAAAGGAAGAAACAGGTAAAGATAATGGATGGATGGATGGATGGATGGATGGATGGATGGTGGGGGCAGCATCATGTTGAAGGTTCAGGTGCTACATTTATCTGGAAGGAGTTTGTTCCAAGTCCTCAGAACCCTTCTGTCTAGTCAGAGACATGATATAAACCAATGTGTTTGAAGAAGCAATGTGAGTGGAGAGATGCAGTCTGTTATGTGTGAGTGCAGCGGCCATATTGAAACAGTGAAGTAACTTTTTATGAATCTCTTGGTGTGTTTGTCTTTCAGGACGTAATGTTGGAGTATCTTGGTGAGAAGGTGGAACAGGTGCATCACAGCTGTGTGGATGACCGAATGACCAACCTCAGCACCCTGGAGAAGGTGGCCAACATTGAGAACCTCCTATCCTCTCTGCTACAGAGCCTGGAGAGCATCCCTGAAGAAAAACTGCAGAAGATTAGGAAAATCAAGAACAGTGAAAAGAGAATCAGGTATTTCTCATCATCTGTGCAACAATTACTTTCTCTCAAACAATGTTTGATAAGTTAACAAGCCATGGTTGTAATTAAGCTAATAATGCAAACATATCTATTGAATCTTGATAAAATGTGTGTTTTTAAGAACATTTCTTTCCTTAAATGATGCTACAGGCAACGTGAAGAAGAGCAGAGAGAGCAGAAAATAAAACAGAAGGAACGGATAAGGAGGTACCTGGAGAGATCCCTCGCTGTCTCAAAGAAAGTAGTATGTCAATGACCCTCTATATTACAACACATAATGTTTTTATACTTGTTTTTTCCTAAAATCATTTGTAATGATGGAACCTGATTAGAACAGTTTCAAACCTAGCATTTTAAAATGTCTTTCAGAGTGGGAGAAAGCTCATGCCCAAATGTTTACCTGTCTCTCCAAGAGTCAAAGTCATGGAAGATTACAACACCCCAGCTGAGGATGACGTCCACAAATACCTCTTTGACTCTGACGATGTGGAGTAAACAAAAGGGAATGAGAGAATTTATTCTCGTGTGGGATTTTTCATTCATTCAACCTTTATTTAGACAGGTTAATCCCATTGAGCCTCGAGGACTCATTTACAAGAGAGACCTGATTTCAACAAAGAAAGATGACAACAATGGACAACAGCGACAACAATAAACAGTTATAAAAAGTCATACAAATTTTTTTTTTAACAAATAAGATGCAAAAAAAGTAACAAAAACAGCTGGATTCTAAGGCGAATGTAGAAAACTAAAAACAGGAACATGTCTGCATTGGTCCCTGCCAGGAGTCCAATAGATTCTTAAAGCCACTTAGAGAGGTCAAAGGTCGAAAGCTTCAGATCTTTTTACAGATTTAACTAATTGTCTTTTATGTGAATGTTCCTGTAAAGTGCCCTGAGCCAACTTTGTTGTGATTTGGCGCTTTATAAATAAACTGAATTGAATTGAAGATATTCCTGAAACAGGAGCGGAGTAGGAGAAGGTCCTTTTGTCTAGTTCAGTCCTCACTGAGGGAACACTGCAGGTAATGATGTCCTGAGAGCGCACGCTGTAGCTGCACTCACACAGAGACATGTAGGAGGAGATGTATGAAGGCAACAGACCAAGAAGTGATTTAAAGATGAAAATGTACCAGTGGGAGAGTCTGTGTGAAGTTAATGATGTCCAGTTAACCAGTGAATACTGGGTGCAGTGGTGGGTACGGTAGTTACAGCCAGTTATGAATCTTAGTGCACCATGATAGACAGCATCCAACATCTGCAGCATCCAACATCTGCAGGGTTCTTGTAGGAGCGTTCATGTAAATAATGTCACCATAGTCAATGGATAAAAAAAAACTTGAGTTTACCTAAAGAAAATATGTATTTTAACTTGCATTGGAATAATGAATGCTTTTTTTTAATTTTTTTTTTTAGAAAGTTATGCACTGAAAACTGTGAGTCTTGTATTTGTTATTACACTGTTGCAGCAAAATTATAGGCTATAAATGTAAATTTACATAAAATAAATCAAGATTCTGCACATTATATCACGGTCAAGGTCAAGGTTTCTTTATTGTCATTTGCATCGCATGTGGCACATGAGGTGGAACAAAATTGTGTACACAGGGTCCCGGTTACATTCAATAAAAGTATAAATTGTAAAGAAAAACAGTAACAAGATCAAAGATATGAGCTAAGAAATACGCTAAACTAAGAATATTCTAAATGATTAATAGTGAAAAAACAGTAATACGCCAAACAACAGCAGCACGAACATGAGTCTGTGTGAGCAGATGAGTACAAATGAATACAGCAGCATGAATTAAATCAGCAGCAATGTATAGTCAGCAGCAAATATAAACAATCAAGTGGCTTTACAGTGATTTTTTTTCCCCACAGTGATTATTCTGGTTATAGATTCATGAGTCTAACAGCCTCAGGGTAGAAGCTGTTCCTCAGTCTAGTGGTTCTACATTTAATGCTCCTTAACCTCTTTCCTGAGGAGAGCGGGGCAAAAAGTGTGTGTGCTGGGTGAGTGGGGTCCTTCATGATGCAGGTGGCCCTCTTCCTGCATCTGGAGGTGTAGATGTCTGTGATGGTGGGGAGGCTGACTCCAACATCTTCTGTGCAGCCTTCACCACTCTCTGCAAAGCTTTTCTTTCTGCAGCTGTGCAGCCTCCATGCCACATGTTGATGCTGGAGCACAGGATGCTCTCCACTGCACACCTGTAGAAGGAGGTGAGGACTGAGCTTCCCAGACCAGCTCGTCTCAGCCGCCTGAGGAAGTAGAGTCTCTGATGAGCTTTCTTCATCAGGCTGGTGGTGTTGTTGCTCCAGCTGAGGTTGTCGTTCAAGTGCACACCCAAGTAATTGTAGCTGGAGACCACTTCCACTGCTGATCATCTTATGTTCGGGGGGGGGGGGGGGGAATGTTTGTTCTGTCTGAAAGCCACAACCATCTCCTTCACATTGATATGAAGGTTGTTCTTCCTGCACCAGTTCTCCAGTTGTTCCACTTCCTGCCTGTAGCTGGACTCGTTTGTGACGAATCCAATCTTTGCTGTATTGTCTGCAAACTTTACAATATGACAGTCTGGATGGGTAGGTGTGCAGTCATATGTGAGCCGAGTGAACAGGAAGGGGCTCAACATACAGCCCTGAGGTGAGTCAGTGCTGAGGGTTATGATGGAGGAGGAGAAGTTGTGGATCCTCACAGATTGTAGTATGTTTGTTAAGAAGTCCAGAACCCAGTTGCATAGGGAGGGCCTTAGTCCTCGTGCGAGTAGTTTGTCCATCAGAGCCTGGGGAATCATGGTGTTGAAGGCAGATATAAAGTCCACAAAGAGCATACGGATATAGGAGTCCTTCTTCTCCAGGTGGGTGAGAGCAGTGTGGACCACAGAGGAGATGGTGTCCTCTATTGATCTATTCTTGTGATATGCAAATTGGTGAGGGTCCTTGCTGATGTCGATGGGTACTGACCAGTCTTTTGAAGAATTTAGCGACTATCGGGGTGAGTGTTACTGGCCGGTAGTCAGTTAGACCAGTCGCTGCAGAGCTTTTTGGAACTGGGATGATGGTGGCAGTCTTCAGGCAGGTGGGAACTGTTGCCAGGGTGAGGGAGGAGTTAAAGATGTCGGCCAGCACCTCGCAGAGCTGATGGCACAGTCTTTCAGCACTTTCCCTGGGATGTTGTCTGGGCCGGTGGCTTTGTGAGGATTAATCCTTCTGAAGGTAGTCCTTACTTCAGCTGAGGAGTACCTTCAGAAGGATTAATCCTCACAAAGCCACTTAAGGTACCCCTCAGCTGAAGTAAGGAGTATCTTCAGAAGGTACTCCTTATGAAGGTACTCTTTACTTCAGCTGAGGAGTACCTTCAGTGGCTTTGTGAGGATTAATCC